ATCCTGGGGGAGGTACCCTCGAATGTCTTTCAGTTTGGATGTTGGAAGGTCTCACGTTCTCGAAGGATGTTTTTCCGTTTTAGGTCCGGCCGTATTGGACTTCCTGGTGGCGGCGGAGCCTGGATTTGGAGGCTCCGGAGGCCCCCGGGTGCGTTGCCTCGGTCGTGCCCCCACCCCCATCTCACCCCAGGGCCCGTCCCCACCCTTCTCTAACGGGACATAGACCCCACGGGAGGTCGGGAGCCTTGGGATGGGGGTCGATGCGAACGGGGGGGTCAGCCAGAGCGCCGGATTTTGCATTATCCTTCAGAGGCACGGGTGCGTTGATCTTGGCAACCGTGCAGGATCCGGCAGGGTTCTGCAGGATCTTGTAAGATCTTGCAAAGCTTGACTGACCCGTGTTTGGATTGACCTGTTGACAGCCAATCAACTCGCGCGCCTTCTCGGTCCTGGCAAGCGGGGGTCGGCATTTTGTTTCGCCATTCCGTCCGATGAGACCATGCGGGCCGCATGCGCGCAGTTGTCGCACACATACACGAATCCTGGCGCGTTCGCCAATTCTTACAAATAGTGCCGTGCGGAGCACAAGCGCGCATCTCGACACGCGCACGTCGAACTCGTTCCAGAACCATGTTTCCGTTTTTTCTCTGCGTGTCAAAAAGTAGGTGTTTCACACCATATGATCAACATGTGAACAGCCATCGGTTCTTATACACATTATTTCATAATGTCGTGATTCATGATCGCGCATTGCCTCATCATCCCCACCAGCACCATGGTCATGATTATCATCGCCTGGGTCATCATTGCCACCGTCGTCGTCATTCACATGACCCCCATCATCATCCATGGCCATCATCGTCGTCATTGTCGTCCGTCGTCATCAACATCAGCATAGTCATCGTCATAGTCGTTGTCGCCTTTCTCGTCATCAGCGCGAGCACTATAATCACAACCCGCCCGCCTGAGCCAAAGATCTGCATGATAACGGTCCTCGCGTCATTGCGCCAGGTGCATTTTGCCAACAGGTTGCGAGTGGAAGGGTGGGATATGTGCTCGAGCATTGGAGTTGACGGTTCCAAGCTCTTCGAAAATTAGTTGCACCACAGACCGCGCCGCATACATTACATCCCCCAAGTTGCATCGCGTAGCTTGCACCACACATTCTGCACCACGCGCCTCATAGATGGCAGACAGCAGCACGCATGTTTCAGCGCATGGGCCCCACATCGAGAGTCGCATCCCACTGCTGTTTCCACGCTGACACGCAATGTTTGCACAGGGGTGGCCCGAGGGATTTGTATGCTCGCTAATGTTTCGCCTTGTGGGCGCCTCGTGGGCGCCTCGTGGGCGCCCCGTGCGCTGCGTGAGCAGGTGGCCAGCCGCGGGCGCTTTGCGAGCGCCCCGCCGGCCGGGTGTTTTGCAGCGGTGGCGCCCCGCGCGGCAGGAGGGCTCACCGAGGGCTCGCTCGAGGGGCGGCCGTGGGCGCCGCACAGTTGGCGCCACGTAGTCCTCCTCCTCCTCCTCCTCCTCCTCCTCCTCCTCCTCCTCTCCCCTCCTCCTCCTCCCCTCCTCCTCCCCCTCCCCCCCCCTCCTACCCCCCTCCTTCCTCCTCTCCTCCTCCTCCTCCTCCTCTGCCTCCTCCTCCTCCTCCTCCTCTCGAAGAAACTGAGGAAGTCCGGGGCGACTTGGCTCACACCAGTGAGCTTCCGCTACAGCGCTGGGGCCACACACCTTACATCGCATGGCTCACGCCACAACAGTGCTTACAATATATACAGCTCTCATCGTACGGTTTACACCACATGGCTTGTGCCACACAGCTTGCACCACATAGCTTACATCATGCAGTCAAAAGCAAATATCGTGCACAACCTCAGCTGCATAGCACAGACAACGCATAGAATGCGCAGTAACTCATTGTCATACTGGTATGGGCACACGTATTCCCCGAATAGAGTTTGCACTTAGGGGCTTGCTTGTCTCTCTTAAGGAACTGGCCCTGCATGCCGATCTGGCGGCTCCGTGCTCGCCGTCGCCGCTTGGTCGCCGCTCGTCGTCTGGGCCTGATTGTAGGTCTCGCTGCTATGTTGTCGCCGTCGCCGCCTGCAGTGCACAACGCAGATTGCATCGCAGATACCGCACCACGTAGATTGCACCACATTTTTCCCCACACAGCGTGCTGAACGGGGTGCTGTTGTGATAGAAGCTAACTCCGGCCGAGGGAAGTCGGAGCAGAGACATCCTCACAAAATTTTTATGGTCCGGGCCGTTTCGCTTGACATTCTCACAACTCTCGTTTCTGAGTTGGCCGGGATTGGCCGTTTCGCCTGAGACATCCTCGAAAAGTTGCGCTCCGGGACGCCGCGCGAGAGGTGGTCCGGGCCGTTTCGCTTGAGACATCCTCGAAACTCTGAGCCCCGAGGTGCCGTGCGAGAGGTGGTCTGGGCCGTTTCGCCTGAGACATCCTCTAATTTCTGAGCTCTGAGATGCCTTGCGCGAAGGTGGTCCGGCCGCCTGAGACATCCTCGAAACTCTAACCTGGGAGATGCCGCGCGAGAGGTGGTCCGGGCCGTTTCGCCTGAGACATCCTCGAACTTCTGAGCTCTGAGATGCCTTGCGCGAGGTGGTCCGGCCCGTGTCGCCTGAGACATCCTCGCAACTCTGAGCTCTGAGAAGCCGTGCGCAAGGTGGTCCGGCCTGTTTCGCACAAGACATTCTCACAGCTCTGAGCTCCCAGATGCCGCGCAAGAGGTGGTCCAGCCTGGGGGCCCAGAAGACCACATGTTAGATATCCTCCCTGGGACCCTGGGAGCCCGCCTGAGACATCCTCGAACTTCTGAGCTCTGGGATGCCCTGCGCGAGGTGGTCCGGCCCGTTTCGCACAAGACATTCTTGCAAATCTGAGCTCTGAGATGCCGTGCGCAAGGTGGTCCGGCCCGTTTCGCACAAGACATTCTCGCAATTCTGAGCTCCCAGATGCCGCGCAAGAGGTGGTCCAGCCTGGGGGCCCAGACGACCACATGTTACATATCCCCCTTGGGAGCCCCAGGAGGCCCCAGAGAGCTTCAGGAAGCCGCAGGACGCCCAGGACAGGCCCCAGGGGTCCCCAGGAGATTCCCAGGAGGCTCCCAGGAGGCCCCAGGAGGCCCGCGATCAGAACGTGTCAAGTTAATACACATCCGGTGTCGATTCGTTGATTTTTGCTGCTCTTGTGCCCCCCCCCCTTTTGGGGGGCCCCCGACGGCCACATGTTAGATATCCCCCTGGGAGCCCCAAGAGGCTTCAGGAAGCCCCAGGTGGGGTCCAAGAGGCCACAGGAGGCCCAGGAGGAAGCCCCAGGAGGTCACCTGGAGGCCCCAGGAGGCCCCAGGAGGCCCTCGCAACTCGGACCTCTGAGACGCCGCGCTCGAGGTGGTGGTCCGGCCCGTTTCGCCTGAGACTTCCTCGCAACACGTTTCGCCCGAGACATCGTCGCAACTCTGGAGTCCGAGATGCCGCGCGCGAGGTGGTCCAGCTCGTTACGCTGGAGACATCCTCGCAACTCTGGGCTCCGAGATGCCCTGCGCGAGGTGGTCCGGCCCATCTCGCCTGAGACATCTTCGCAACTCTGAGCTCTGAGATGCCGTGCGCAAGGTGGTCCGGCCCGTTTCGCACAAGACATTCTCGCAACTCTGAGCTCTCAGATGCTGCGCACGAGGTGGTCCAGCCTGGGGGCCCAGAAGACCACATGTTACGTATCCCCCCTGGGAGCCCCAGGAGGCCCCAGAGAGCTTCAGGAGGCCGCAGGACGCCCAGGACAGGCCCCAGGGGTCCCCAGGAGATTCCCAGGAGGCTCCCAGGAGGCCCCAGGAGGCCCCTTTTCAGAACGTGTCAAGGTAATACACATCCGGTGTCGATTCGTTGATTTTTGCTGCTCTTGTGGCCCCCCCCCCCCATTTTGGGGGGCCCCGACGGCCACATGTTAGATATCAGATATCCCCCCCTGGGAGCCCCAAGAGGCTTCAGGAAGCCCAAGGTGGGGTCCAGGAGGCCACTGGAGGCCCAGGAGGAAGCCCCAGGAGGTCACCAGGAGGTCCCACGAGGCCCCAGGAGGCCCCCGCAACTCGGAGCTCTGAGACGCCGTGCTCGAGGTGGTCCGGCCCGTTTCGCCTGAGACTTCCTCGCAGCACGTTTCGCCCGAGACATCGTCGCAACTCTGGAGTCCGAAATGCCGCGCGCGAGGTGGTCCAGCCCGTTACGCTGGAGACACTCTCGCAACTTTGGGCTCCGAGATGCCGTTCGGGATGAAGAGGAGGTGGTGGAGGAGGAGGAGGAGGAGGAGGAGGAGGAGGAGTTATGTTTTAACATGCCAATGCCAGCCCGCACTGGACGGGCACGCAATCGACCTTGGAAACCGCAGTGGGTCTAAAAACCCTGTTTGGGGATACTGCACTCCGGCTATAATTTTGCACCACATGCTTTTGCACCACATAAATTGCACAACATATAGTGCACCGACATGTTGCACCCCATAGATGGCACCACATATATTACACCATGTATAGCACAGCATAGCGACGTTGTGCAACAAACACGCCGCGGGAGCCTGTGTCAGCTATCACCATGCCTCTTCTCCTCCTTTCCTTCCCCTTCTTCCTCCTCGTCCCCATCCTGTTCCTGTTCCTCTTCGTCCCCGTGCTTGTTTCTAGTCCTCCTCGTCCTCCTCGTCCTCGTTTTCGTTTTTCTCCCCGTCCTCGGCCGCCGCCGTCGACGTCCTCCTGCCACTCCCTCCTCCCGTTCCCTCGCCCTTCTCCAACTCCTCCTCCAACTCCCTCCTCCCTCCTCCAGCCACTCTGTTCGGTCAGCGCTCAGATATCTCAAATTAAGAGGCCTCGCCGACGTATATCGGAGCATGTGGGCTGCGCCACAGCTGATGACAAAGATCGATTCTCCTCATCCCTCCCGCCCTCCCCGTTGTCTTCCCCCCCTCCCCCTCCTGTTCACAGCCGCCCGCCGAGGTCTGCAGTACTTCGTGAAGAGGTACCTCGTCGGCCCCGTTGTCACCCAGGCGAAGATCGAGCAGGCGGCGGCGTTCGCCGAGAAGCACTTCGCGAACCCAGGGTGCGCGCGCGCGCCCTGGGGGGCCGACGACGGCGACGCCAGCGACGGCCCTCCCCTCCGTGCTTCTCCTGCGTCTCTCTGCTGCTGCTCCTCCTCCTCCTCCTCCTCCACGTCCTCCTCCTCCTCCTCCTCCTCCTCCTCCTCCTTCTCCTCCTCCATGTCCTCCGTGTCCACACCTCGTGCTTCGCCTCCTCCACGTCCTTCTCCTCAACCTCCTCCTCCTCCTCCTCCTCCTTCACGTCCTCCGAGTTTTCCTCATCCTCCTCCTCCTTTTCCTCCTCCCCTTCGTGTTTCTCCTGCCCCTTTCTGCTGCTGCTCCTCCTTCACGTCCTCCTCCACGTGTTCCGTGTTTCTCCTTGTCCTCTTTCTGCTCCTCGCCCGTCCCGTCCTGCCAGTTCCTGCCCCGTCCACGCGTGCGGCAGCGCTGGAGGGTGACAGGCGCGCGCAGCACCGATTATCCGGAGGTGCGTCGCTTTCGGGAGCAAGGCAAGGCCAGATGCGGCACGAGCAGATCTAACGTCACAGGCATGATCGATTGCTCTGATGGGAAAGAATCGCTCGCTCCCGTTACCCTTGGGATGCAGCGCAGCACGTGGGCGGTGTGTTATGGACGTGAGAACGCACTGGCGGCCCATTCGATCTCGCAGCGGCTGCGCCCTGGAGTCATTGCCATGCCCTCCGTTCTTCTCTGTCCCGTCTGCTCGAGCATTGGAGACAGAAAGCGGGCATGTTCGCGTCGAGAGAAGGTCACAGATCACGATGCATTCTGTTTGCTCTTTTTCAGCCTCCAGGAGCCCTCGCCAGGCTCCGGGTCCGTCAGACAGCGAGTCGGGATGCAAGGCCGGCTCTGGGGAAAGGGTCGGGACTTGTGGGAACTGCGTTTTGATGTCGCATGTCCCGGGCGTATCCGCCCCCACCTGGCCAGAGAGCTTCGGCTCCCGATTGTGACCGATCCTTGACCAGGATGGGCCTGGCCAGGATCGATGAGCGTGTGTGTGTGTGTGTGTGCGTGTGTGTGTGTGTGTGCGTGTGTGTGTGTGCGTGTGTGTGTGTGTTTGTGTATGTGCATGTGTGTGTGTGTGTGTGTGCGTGTGTGTGTGTGTGAGTGTGAGTGTATCTATGTGTGTGTGTGTGTGTTTGTGTGTGTGCGTGTGTGCGTGCGTGTGTGTGTGCATAATTCTGCGGCGAGCCCACGGGGGACAGGAGAGGGTGCAGGCCCTCTCAGAAGGCGGCGGGGCTTCTCGGAAGCCCTCTGGCCTTTGAGAAGCCGGCCACCTCTTCTGTGAAGGCTTCGACAGTCTCATAATAGAAGGCCGGAGGCCTTTCACGCCCTCTCTCTTAGAAGGCCCGCCTTCTGTGGCTTCCCCTGGGCTCGCCGCCGAACAGGTTATTTTCTTCCATGCTCCTCCGCCTCCTCCTCGTCGTCTCCTCTCCTCCTCCTCCTCCCTCTCCTCTCCTCCTCTCCTCCCTCTCCTCCTCCTCCTCCTCCTCCTACTGCTTCTCCTCCTCCTCCTCCTCCTCCTCCCTCCTCTCCTCCTCCTCCTCCTCCTCCTCCTCCTCCTCCTCCTCCTCCTCCTCCTCCTCCTCCTCCCCCACCTCCCACTCTCGGAGCCCCCCCCGCGCGCATCGGGTCTCGTGTCGCATCGCCCCCATCGCCCTTCGCCGCGACGGTCGCTTGGCTTCCATCGCCCCGCCTGTTCCGAACCATCACGTGAATTGCGCGAAGAAACCGAGTTAAAACAGCGTCCAGGAGAGAGAGGGCGGAAGACAAAGCGTGGGCAATGGTTGGCGTTCTGTATTCGAGAGAACTCAGAATGTGGGCTTTGAAAAGACTCAGCAGCTCAGCGTCAGTGTAATATCTCCGCGAAGGCAAAATTGCAGAGACGCGCCAACCGGCGTCGGACACGCGATTGACCATCTTGCATGACCGGCCGTCGTTTTGAACAAAGCCCGCGTCCTCCTCACTCACTCCACCCCTCGCCTCCCTCCTAACATCCCTGCTCCTGCCCGCCGCACGATCATCTCGGCACTGCACCCAGGGCCCCAGTGCCAGCCCCCGCACGGCGTTGCCCCTGGCCACTTCGGCACACCCCTCGCACGTTTCGTGACCCACAGGGGGGCTCCACCGAAGGCTCCAGTGACAGCCCCCGCATGGCGTCACCCCGCCGATTTCAGTAGTTACACCCCTCACACGCTTCGTGGCCCCGTGGGCAAGTGGACCCAAGGCCCTGGTTGCACCGCCCGCATGTGCAGGCACCTTGGGCACCTCCAGGTGTTCTGTCCGGGCACAAAAAAATGCACCGCCCGCATGGCGTCACCCCGCCCAGTTCGGCACACCCCTCAGACATTTCGTGACGTCTCCACCGAAGGCCCAGCAGCAGCGCCCGCATGGCGTCACTGCGCCCTCTTCGGCACACCCCTCCCACGCTTCGAGGCCCCACAGGGAGTTCCCCCGAAGGCCCCAGCCGCAGGGCCCGCATGACGTCACCCCGCCCATGTCGACACACCCCTCACACGTTTCGTGACCCACAGGGAGCTCCATTGAAGGCCCCAGCTGCAGCGCCCGCATGGCGTTACAGCGGCTCAGTACTGCACACCCCTCACACGTTTCGTGACCCATGGGGAGCTCCACCGAGGCCAGAGTGGCGGCGCCCGCATGGCGTCGCCCTGCCCATTCTGGCACGCTCCGCACACCTTTCGTGGTTTCACAGGGAGCTCGACCCAAAGCCCGGGTGGCAGTCGGCAGTGCTTGCATGGCGTCACCCCGCCCATTTTGGAACACCGCTCTTTCGTTTCGTCACTCCACCTTCGTTTCACTTGCCTTGCTGCACTCACACTTGCGTATGGTTGGGCCTGTCGCCTGAATAATTTGTTGTTTTCTCCCGACCAACCTGTGGTGTTGGGTCCTCGTTTTGAAGAAACGGCGCCCCGCGTCCTTCTTCCTCCTTCCCCTTCCTCCCATCCCTACCTCTGCCCTCCGTAGTTTTCTCTCACACTTTTCGAGCTCGCATAGAGAATTTCAACTAATGCCCAACTACCTGGGTCCGCATGGGGTCGCCGCCTCATTTCGGCACACACATTACACGCTTAGTGCCCCCATAGAGAGCTCCAACCAAAGCCAAAATTCCAGGGCCCGCGTGGCGTCGCCGCCTCATTCGGCCACACCCCTCACTCGTTTGGCGCGTCCATGGGGAGCTCCAGCGACGGCCCGAATGTCATGGTCCGCCTGAAGCCGCTGCCTCATTTCGGCACATCCCTCACACGATTCGTCGAGAGCTCCGACTGAGGCCCAACTTCCAGGATCCGCATGGCGTCGCTCCTCCCTGCCTTTCTCCTTCTCCCCCCTCCTCCTTGCTGTTCGGATAGTTGTATGGGTTGTCTGTTGTGCACTTCGCAGTCGGACGCTGTATGTTCAGGTTCACAGTCGCGTTGTGCTCTGTGTGTCAGCGTTACAGTCGTGATGCGCTCCTTCTTCCGCCGCGCGCTATCGCAACCTGGAGGTAGGCACACCACCGAGCACGGGTTCAATAGTGATCCAGATGCGTTTGCCAACGCGTCTTGCAAATGCATGGCTTCTGATCTGATCTGTCATCAAAAGGATCGTCTCCCCACAGGGAGTTCCAGCGAAGGCCCAATGCCAGGGTCCGCATGACGTCGCCGCCTCATTTCGGCACACCCCTGACACGGTTCGCACCCCCACGGGAAGCTCCAGCGAAGGCCCAAATGCGCCGCTTCATTCTGGCACACCTCTCACGCATTAGGCGCGTCCATGGGGAGCTCCAGCGAAGGCCCAAATGCCAGGGTCCGCATGGCGTCGCCGCCTCAATTCGGCGTGTCCGTCACACGTTTCGTGGCCCCATGGGGAGCTCCAGCGAAGGCCCAAATGCCAGGGTCCGCAAGGCGTCGCCGCCTCATCTGTTCGGCACACCCCTCACATGTTTCGTGCCCCTCCAGGGAGTTCCAGCGAAGGCCCAAATTCCAGGGTCCGCAAGGCGTCGCCGCCTTATCTGGGTACACACCCCTCACACCTTTCGTGGCCCCATAAGGATTCACCTAAAGCGATACTCACAACGACGGTAGTCATAACTGCATTTTGTTTGGCGCTTCGCCCGGATATGTGTTGTTTTACGCTTGTGCTCCCAACCAGATTGTGGTATTGGGTCTTCGTTCTGAAGAGAGAGCGCCACGCTTCACCTCCAACCTCCTCCCTCTTCTAATCCCTACCTCTGCCCTGTGCGTGCACATGTCGGCATGCCCCTCGCATGTTTCGTGGCTCCAGAGGGAGCTCCACCGAAGGCTCACATGCCACCGTCTGGATGCCACCACCGCAGCCTATTTCGTGGCCGCATACATCGGTCCAATAACAGTTTCTTGACTGTTCGTCACTTCGCTCGCTAGCGGAAGCCGATGGAAGTAAAACGAGGCAGAAGACGGCGGAAGACCGTTGGAAGATTTGCGGAAGACAGTGGAAGTACATGACCCCCTGTCCGAACCCCCTACCCCCCGTAGAAGCCTATTGGTTCCCCTTTAATATTGTAATTTGAGGTCAGCCAGGCAAACATCCCACCCATGAAAAATGTTGTAAATAAACTTCCCGGGTGGTTCACGGATCCTGCCGTGGTGGGATCGGTTCGAAGTCGGACAGGGCTCTGAACTTGCAGCATTCTTGACATGTCAGGATCGTCTCGAGGTCATTTTGAGATCATATCTCGGTCGTGCTTGGATCGCGCAGCCGTCGCGTATTCATGCAGGAGCCACCCTGAGCGCTCGTGGATGCAGCGTGTTGCCATCGGGCCATCGCGGCGTCGCTCGTGGCTCATGTGTTTGGTCATCTTCGAGTCCGCCCGAGACGGTCAAGAACCCATGGCGGGATCGTGTTGGGGTGGCGTCACCCCAGGGTCTCTCCACCCGCCAAACCACCCCAACTCAACCCGAAGGGTCGGATTTACCCTCGATTTCTAGTGGATGGGGGTCCGGGAACGTCGAAAAAACACATATGGAGCCCATACCCCCCCCAACCCGAAATTCGGGTCTTCGGGTTGGGTTGGGGTGGTCTGGTAGGTAGTCAGGGTCGTCTGGACGTTCTCGTCTGTGGCCTCAGGCCCTCCTGGCACCATCTCACGGCCATGGGAACGTCCTGGGATCGCGCACGCACGAGCGCTGAGCACGCGCGCGCGCGACAACTCATCTCGCCGATCGGCGTACATACATCTACTTCTTGTTGTGGGTGTCCACGGAAACTTCAGGTGGAGTCAAGCAGGGAGCTCCACCGAAGGCCCAAATGCCAGGGTCCGAATGCCACCACCGCATACAATTTGGCAAACTCCTCACACGTTTCGTGGCCCCCTCAGGTGTTCAACCGAACGCCCCAGTGGGAGGGTCCGCATGCCACCGCCGCACCCATTTTCGGCACACCCCTCGCGCGTTTCGTAACCTCGCCTTCGGGAGCTCCAGCGAAGGCCCCAATGGCAGGGCCCGCATGCCGCCACCGCACCCAATTTGGCACACCCCTCACACGCTTCGTGCCCCCAGAGGGGAGCTCCACCGAAGGCTGCAGCGGCAGGGTTCGCATGCCACCACCGCACCCAATTTGGCACACCCCTCACGCGTCTCGTGTCCCCACAGGGAGCTCCACCGAAGGCCCTGGTGGGAGGATCCGCATGCCACAATCGCAGCCCATGTCGGCACACCCCTCACACTTCGTGGCCCCGCAGGGAGCTCCACCGAAGGCCCCATTGGGAGGGTTCGCGCGTCGGCGAACCCCTCACACGGTTCGTGACCCCATAAGGAGCTCCACCGAAGGCCCCAGTTGCAGGGTCGCCATGCCGCTACCGCGCCCAATCTGGCACATTCCTCACGAGCTTCATGGCCCCATAGGAATTTCCACCGAAGGTCCCAGCGGCAGGGCCCGCATAGTGGCACCGCGCCAATTTCAGCACAGCCCTCGCACGCTTCGTGGCCCCATGGGGAGCTCCACCGAAGGCTCCAACGGCAGGGTCCGCATGGCGCCACCGCGCCCGTTCCGGCACACCCTTCACACGTTTCGTGCCCCCATAGGGGTTTCTTCCGAAGACCGCAGCGGTAGGGTCGCGCAGCACACCCCTTACAGGTATCGTGGCCTCATATGGAGTTCCACCGAAGGCCCCAGTGTGAGGGTTCGCGTGCTGTCCCCGCCCCATGTCGGCACGCCCCTCACACGCGTTTCGTGGCCTCTCAGGGAGCTCCTCCGAAAGTCGTACCCACAATGCGGTGTTCACATTTGCACATGGTTGGGTCTTTCGCCAGGATGTGTTGTTGATTGTTGCTTGTAGTTGTTTGTTCACAACCATCCTGCGGTCTGTGGTTCTCGTTTCGAATCCGCAGCAACCCGCGTCATTCCTCCTCCTCACCTCCCCGTCCGCCTCCGCATCGTCGTCGTCGTCGTCATTATCATCGTCATCATCACCGTCAACTTCATCAGCGCTACCAGCATTATCATCAACAGCATCATCATGACCACCACCACCATCACCATCACCCTCTCCATCACCATCACAATCACTGTCATCATCCGTGCAATCATCTTTGTCATCATCATCGTGCTCAGCACCATCAACAGCCACATCAATGCCAACATCAACCTCACCATCGACATCATCATCATCAGCAGCGTCATCATCATAATCATCATAACCATCATCATCATATTCATCATCATCAGCACCGTCACCAGTATCTTCGTTCATAATATCAGCATCAACATGCTCATCAACATTCTAAGCACCACCACCATCATACTCATCATCATCATCATTACCATTCGTCGTCGCCATCATCACCATCAACAACAACATCGTCATCATCACCATCATTTGCCTCATCAGCCTCATCGGCATCAGCATCAACATTCTCACCATTACCAGTAACATTTCGGCACACCTCTCGTACGCTTCGTGGCCCCATAACGAGCTCCACGGAAGGCCGCAGCGGCAGGGTCCGCAGGAAGCCATTGCGCCCAATTCGGCACACCTCTCACACGTTTCGTGGCCCCATAGGGAACTCCACCGAAGGCCTTATTGGGAGGGTTCGCGCGCCACCACCGCATCCAATTGGGCATACCCCTCACACGGTTCGTGGCCCCACAGTGAGCTCCACCGAAGGTCCCACTGGGAGGGTTCGCATGGCGCCGCCGCACCTATGTTGGCACACCCTTGACCCGGTTTGTGGCCCAAAGGGGATCTCCACCGATGACCCCAGTGCGAGGGTTCGCATTGCGCTGGCGCGTCCATGTTGGCACACCCTTTACACGCTTTGTGGCCCAAAGGGATCTCCTCCAACGACCCCAGAGGCAGGGTTCGCATGGCCTCACCCCGCCCATTTCGGCACACCTCTCACGTCTCGTCGCCCCCCTCCGTCTCACCTGCCTCGCGATGCTTGCAGATGCATGTGGCCGGGTCCTCCGCCCAGAAATTCTTTTTCCATTTCGCGCCGTTTTGCGCCCGGCGCAGCTGCACTTACAACAAGACGGTCTTCAACCGAGCAGGCCGCGCTCCGAGGGGGGGCTCGCGTGCTCTTTCCCGCCCCGCTCCGCGCCCCTCTCTCTGCGCCCCCGCGCGTCCCTCTCTTGAGATGCGACAGCTCGAGAAAATTGAGACATCGTGAATCGCGAAACGTCACGACTGGAGCCCTGGGCCCCATTCTGCGCCATTTGTCGGGCCGGATCCATTTGTGAGGGTCCCGGGGGTCCGAAACCAGGCGAAGACGTCCAGCTCGGGAAGATCGAGTCGCCAGGATCTCAGGGCCTTCCCCCGCTCCGCCCGCCAGCAAGAGTTCGTTGGCCACTGCCCGCTCCAACGTCAAGGCAGTGGCCTTCGGACGCGAGCCCGAGGGCGGGCGCCCCACCCCCTCCCGGAGCCTGGGGCCCTCCACGGACCTGCGGGCTGGGTTTTTGGCTCCAGGCTGCCGCCCGATCCCCCCCCCCCGGCGTCTGGATGGGCCTTGGTCTTGGCACGGCTCGGACGTGGTGTATTTCTTCTTGGCGAGGGCCTCGCAGTGGGGGCGCGCATCCGGACGCCACGTCCTTTTCTTTTCGTCAGGCTAATTATTCTGGGTTTCCTCGCTCCGCGCGCTGCGCGGTGACTTCCCGCAGCCGTTGAAGAAGCTGCTGCGTGCAGGGTGCTCCGGAGTTCCCTTCAGGTGCATCTCGCGCGTGGGTTTTCAGGGTTGGGTTTCTTACGAGTTGTTTTTGCGGCCGCGCCGCACTGTAGAGGAGCATCCTGGATCATCGAGCAAAAAAAGTAAATTCGACAACGAAACATGCACGGGGAATGGACGGCCGAGCGATGGCAAGTGGTGGTGAGGTTGCACCCTTTCGGTGTTTTGCTTGGCCATATTGTGCAAGGCGCCTTTCGGAGCCTTTCCCTCTTGCAGAAGGCGCGGCCTGAACATAATTTTTCTAAATTCCGCGCGGATTTCTTGGATCGGCATTAGGCCCTCCTAGCGGCGCCTTCGGCGACGCCCCTGGCGCGCTCCGCGCGCCAGGGAGGCGCACCCGCGCGGGTCCAATAATTCGTGCGGATCTCCAACAGCTTATGCGAATGCAGTCTCTTGTTACTCGGATTTCGGCTCAGAAGCGTTCCATGGAATTTCTGGAGGCCACCAGCTCTCATCGAGGGCATGAGTATACGCATTGGCTTGCCTGCGTTCCCCTGTTATCTTCGGGTTGACCCAAAAGGGGGTCCAGCGACAAGGGGGTAGTGCAATAGATTGGGTGCAATAGATTTGAGGGGTTGCAGTATACAGGGGGCGCGCAATACATTCCAGGGCGCAAATGTATTGCTGGATTCTCGCGTGCAGCACATTGCTTGCAGTACGATGCAATACAGTTCTCCGGCACAGTACATGTGCGATCCAATTGCCCACAATCTATTGCACCACCCCTTTTCAGCTGGATCCCCTTCTGGGTCACCCAAAGTTGGGTGACCTGTGAGTGTCCTCGGAGTGCCCTCGGAGGGGCCTCGGGGGCCCTCGGAGGTCCTCGGCGGCCTTGGAGGCAGAGGGAGGAGAGACTGCCGCGAGCGCCTCTGTGACTCCTCCCCCTCCTTTCATCTGGACCCCCTTTTGGGTCACTCGAGTATCTGATGTGTTGTCTGTCGAGCCATCCTCCTTCCTGCCCCGTGACGCCGCCGTCGGCCTCTCCGGCAGGCGGGGGGCCTCGGGCCAGCGATCTTGAGGCAGGTCGACAACGCCTTGGTGCTTGGCTTGAGTTGGGCCTGTCCCTCTACAGGGGGACGATTCAGAAATAGTCAAAGAATATAATCAGGTGACGAATTGTTCTGGATCATTTTCGAATATGTTTGGGGCATGTTTTGGGTATTTTCGATTTTTCGTCAAAATCCGCCTGCAGGGGGACACGCCCGACCTAGTCTGAATGCTTGACTGGCAGCCTGTTTGCTGCATATGTATATGAAGCGCATTCGGCCTTTGGGCCTTAACAGCGTCCAAGACGGCCCAAGATATTTGGGCCTTAAATGCTCTCAAGACGGCCCAAGAGGCCCCCAAGATCTCCCTCAGACGGCCCAAGAGCACCCCAAGAGGGTCCCAGGACGGCCCACGAAAGCAACAAAACGGTCCAAGAGGCGCTCAAGACGGCCCAAGAGGGCCCCAAGAGAGGTCCACACGGGGAACGTTACCTGACACTTCGAGCCCTCCGCCATACTTGAGCCGCCGAGGCCGCTAGCGTCCAGGCAGTCATATGAGGGCGGGCCTGTTGATATATGAGCCTGACAACTCTGTTTCAGGTATCGGTGGTGAGTGACGCCTTCCACTTGATGTAATTATCAAGACGCGCAGATCGTAGCCAGTGCCGGCGCCAGGCCAGTTGTTGCTCACGCCATGCAGTTATGTAACGGCACCATCGCGAGACGGCGTGACACAGGAACGAGCTGTTCCCAGATTTAGGAGTGGTGCAAAGGCCTAAAGGTTTGTCGTCCGCGCACATCTCCGATTAAGTCGGGCCTGTCCCTCTACAGGAGGAATATTCAACAATTGTTTTTTTTGTCAGGGGACATGTTTTTTTTTTTAGTATTTTGAGATGATGTGACTATTTCAAACTCTTCCTCCAAACTCCGCCTGTAGGGGGACTTGCCCGACCTAAATCTGCGACTATTCGCCAGCGATGTTTGGGAAGTTTGCAGGCAGTCTGGCCGTTGTGACCCATCGATTTGTTTAGTTATGGCGAACCACTGCCGCCCCCTCCCTTCTGGAAACGCCTACCCGCCCAAACGCTGGACCGAACTGTAGCCACCATATTGGACTCGGTGTTCACCCAGCCGCGGTGGAAACCCGTAGGGGAGGAGGAGGAGGAGGAGGAGGAGGAGGAGGAGGAGGAGGAGGAGGAGGAGGAGGAGGAGGGGGAGCGGGAGGAGGAGGAGGAGGAGGAGGAGGAGAAGGAGAAAGAAAACGAGGAGGAGGAGGAGGAGGAGGAGGAGGAGGGTGAGGAGTAGGAGGCCTGCGGGGGCCCTCTTGGGGCATCTTGGGGGCCTCTTGAGGGCCTGTTGGGGGCCTCTGGGGGCTTGGCCCGTCGGACGCATTCGCAGGCCTCTCTGGGGGCCTGTCTGGGCCGTCTTCAGGCTCTCTCGTGGCGCTTTACGGTCGTCGTGGATTTCTGTGGGACCGTCTTGGGACACTCTTGGGGCCGTGTTGGGGGCCTCTTGGCCCGTTTTGTCACTCCCGGGAGCTCTCTTGGGCCGTCTTGAGGCTATCTTGGTAGCCCGTGGGGCCGTCTTCGGCGTTCGGAAGCCCCGGAGGGGTGTTTTTGGACCGTCTTGGGGCCTTTCCTGCGCCGTCTTGGAGCCCTGGCGCCGTCTTGGGGCGATCTCGGCGCCCTGTTGAGCCGTCCTGGGTGCTCGGAAGCCCGATAGATCGACATAAGAACAGCTTCGAAAACAATAAACGAACTTGGCCTCTTGAGAGCATTATGGTTCTTCTCTCGGAGCCCTCAAATGGCGTCTGGGGGCCTCTTCGGCCGTCTGGGCCATCTTTGGCCGTCTTGGGAGCCTCTGGGGCCGTCTTGGGCCATCTTTGAGCAATCTGGGACCCGCTTGGCGCCAGTTTGGGGCCGTTTTGGAGACGCCTGGAGACCGTCTTGGAGGCCGTCTTGGTCCACCTTGGAGCCAGCTTAGCTGGAAAGGCGACAGGACCCGGTTTTCCTGAGCGCTTCTGGGTTCGGGAGCCTTGAGACGGGGGTCAATGCAAATGGGGGTCAGCCAGAGCGCCAGATCTTGCAGGATCCTGCGAAGACCCCTCTGGCTGACCCAGGTTAGCGAGCCGCTCGTGGCCGCGAGGCGGCCGCGCCTATTGTCTGACCCGGGTTTGCGAAGACCTGCGTTGCAGTTGTTTTTCCTGCATTGCAGTTTTTGGTTTCCTGCTGACCTGGGTCTGGACTGACCCGGGTCAGAAGATCCCCGATGGGTAGCCAGCGGGTTCGACCAGAAGCCAGTGGGATAGTTTGGAAGGGCCAGCAAGTGCTATGCCGAGCACCCCGTTGCAAGCAAAAGAGGGTGGCGGATCGAAAGTTCCTAGGGAGTCACCGCTGCCGCCTGCCCTTCTGGAAATACCAATGTCGCCAGTTGAGCCAAAGCTTGGCAAATCCATTGGACTATGTGTTTCCCCAGCCGTTGTGGAACCTGTGGGGGAACATTTTGTGGACGAGCAGGGGAGGAGGAGGAGGAGGAGGAGGAGGAGGAGGAGGAGGAGGAGGCGATGGAGGAGGAAGCGGAGGCCTCTTCGAGACCCTCTTGAGGTCTCTGGGGGGTTCTGGGGGTCCTCTGAGGGGCCTCTTTGGGGCCTCCTGGTCTTTCCAAGAAGAGGGTGTAGCTCTAGAGACTTGAGAGGGATGAATATTGGGAGCAGGGGGAGGGGTGAGGAGGGGGAAGCATGCGGATGAGGATGAGGATGATGCTGGTGATGATGAGAAGGAGGAACACGAAATCTCTCTGGAGCTTGGAGGCTGTGGAGGGGAGGCTCCGGTGGGTGGGGAAAGTTCTGGGGAAGTCCAGAAGGCCAACCAAAGGAGCTATCAGGCGGAAGGGGTCGGAGGAGGAGGAGGAGGAGGAGGAGGAGGAGGTGTAGACGCCTCCCCCCTTCCCACGCCCCCTCGCCTTGCCTGCGAAGGCTGGGAGTACATTCTCAAGCGCCACAAGGGCTGCCTCCCAATCAGGATCAAGGCCTCCCATCGCGATCTCTTCCCCACTCCGCTCTTCTCTGTTGCCCCTCTTCTCTGCTCCTTACTCCTCTTCCCGCTTCCCCCTTTCTTCTCAGTTCTTCCTCGTTCTCCTCCTCTCTCGCTCCAGCTGGGGCTCTCGTTTTTGCAGGACAACCCCCTGCCCTTTCACCGACAGGACCCCATGGTCACCACCCGAGGCTTCTGGGTGACTCATCGGTTGTGCCTCCTATCTCGCTCCTCCACCTCGCCTCGTCGCCTCTCGCTCCCCCCTTCCGCCCCAGAGGCGTTGCGCAAAGCGGCACGTGACGTCCAGCGCCCCCCGAGGGCCCGCCCTCCCGAACGTTGCCCCTGATCCGACCAGTTTCTCCCAGGATGTTGCCCCCCCGGTCTAGCCCCTGATCTAGCCCCCGAACGTTGCATCCGAACGTTGCTCCCGAACGTTGCCCCCGAACGTTGCCCCTACACGATGCCCCCCCGCCGAACGCTGCCCCCGAACGTTGCCCTTCATCCCGGGGGGGAGAAGAAGCGGATGGAGGAGTTGAGGATGAGCAGGCGGAGGAGGAGGAGGACGAGGAGGAGGAGGAGGAGTCGGATGATGACGGGGAGAAGGAGGAGGAGGAGGAGGAGGAGGAGGAGGTGCAGGAGGAGGAAGAGAAGGATGGGATGGATGACGACGACGACGAGGAGGAGGAGGAGGAGGAGGAGGGCGGAGGAGGAGGGCGGAGGAGGAGGGCGGAGGGAGGAGGGCGGAGGAGGGGGGGGAGGAGGGAGGATGGAGGGCGGAGCAGGGGAGGAGGGAGCAGGAGGAAGGGAGGGGGAGGAGTACGATGACGACGACGACGAGGAAGAGGAAGGAGGAGGAGGAGGAGAATTAGGAGGAGAGGCGGAGAGAGGAGGAGGTCGGAGGATGAGGGGAGGACGGGGAGATTGAGGAGAGGAGGGAGGAGGCAGGAGAGGAGGTGCAGGAGAGGAAGAGAGGAGGGGGCGGATGACGACGACGACGACGACGACGACGAGGCGGAGGAGGAGGAGGAGGAGGAGGAGGAGGGGAGATGAGGAGGAGGGCGGAGGAGGAGGAGGAGGAGGAGGAGGAGGCTCAGGAGGAGTAGGAGGCGGATGACGACGGGAAGAGGAGAATGAGGAGGAGGAGGAGGAGGAGGAGGAGGAGGAGGTGGTGGTGATGGAGGAGGTGGAGGCGGAGTAGGAGGAGGGGCGGAGGAGGAGGAGGAGGAGGAGGCGGAGTAGGAGGGAGGAGGCGGATGACGAAAGGGGTGGAGGAGGAGGGGAGGAGGAGGAGAGGAGGAGGAGGAGCAGCAGGAGAGGGGGAGGGGAGGTGGAGGTGGTGAGGTGGTGGAGGGCGGAGGAGGAGGAGGAGGCGGATGAGGAGGAGGCCGGAGGAGCGGCGGAGGATGGCGGGGGAGGAGGGCGGAGGAGGAGGAGGACGAGGAGGAGGAGAAGGAGGAGTAGGAAGACGGGAGGAGGCAGGAGGGAGGCGGGAGGAGGGAGAAGGGAGGAGGGATCATGGAGGAGGGATGAGGGAGGATGGACGAGAGACGAGGGACGAGGGACGAGGGACGAGGGAGGAGGAGGAGGACGAGGATGAGGAGGAGGAGGACGAGGAGGAGGAGGAGGAGGAGGAGGAGGAGGAGGAGCATGAGGATGATGAGGATGAGGATGAGGATGATGAGGATGATGATGATGATGATGATGATGGATGATGATGCTGATGATGATGATGATGATGATGATGATGATGAACAGATGATGATGATGATGATGATGATGATGATGATGCTGATGATGATGATGATGGTGATGATGATAATGGTGGTGACGATCATGCTGATGATGCTGATGATGATGCTGCTGCTGATGATGATGATGATGATGCTGATGTTGATGCTGATGCTGATAATGTTTATGATGATGATGCTGCTGATGATGATGATGATGATGATGCTGATGCTGATGCTGATGCTGATGATGATGATGATAATGGTGGTGATGATCATGCTGATGATGATGATGATGCTGATGCTGATGCTGATGCTGATGCTGATGATTATGCTGATGATGATGATGATGATGATGATGATGATGATGCTGATGATGATGATGATGATGATGATGCTGATGTTGATGCTGATGCTGATAATGTTGATGATGATGATGCTGATGATGATGATGATGATGATGATGATGATGATGATGATGATGATGATGATGATGATGATGATGATGATGATGATGATGATGGATGATGATGTGATGAATGATGGATGATGGTGATGGTGATGGTGATGGTGATGGTGATGTGGTGATGGTGATGGTGATGGGTGATGAGATGGTGGGGAGGAGGAGGAGGAGGAGGAGGAGGAGCTGAGTGAGGAGGCGGAGGAGGAGGAGGAGAGGAGAGGAGGAGGGAGCGTCGCGGAGGAGGGACGAGGATCAGGGAGGAGGACGAGGGACGAGAGACAAGGGACGAGGGACATGGGAGAAGGAGGAGGGACGAGTGAGGTTTCAGGTGGAGGAGGAGAAGGAGGAGCAGGAGGAGGAGGAGGACTAGGCCTAGGAGGAGGAGGAGGAGGAGGAGGAGGACGAAAAGGAGCCCCCCACCCGAGCGTTGCCTTCCCTCCCACCCCCCGAACGTTGCCCATCGTGGCGAAGAACGTCGCGAGCGCGCCCGCCTGCCCCCCCCCCCGGACGTTGCCCCCCCCCTCCCCCCCAGCGATCTCCGGAGATCTCGGGCGGCCTCCAGCGGTTCGGGGGTTACCGAAAGTGCCCCTGGCCCGAGGTGCCCCCAGCAGGGCTCGTTTCGGTTCCCCCGATTCGATTCGATCCGATGTCGATGGCTTCCCACTACGATCCGATTCGACCTGGATTCCGATCTGGATTCCGATTTCTCGACGGCTGGCCTGCTGATTCTCGCCGATTCGACTTCTCCCGACGAGACTGCCGATTTCGCCGATCCGATTCATTTCGATCGCCGATCCGACTTATCGATTCGATTCCGTGCTCTCCTGCCCACGCTTCTCGGTAAATTCTGGAGCTCCTGGGGCCCTCTGGGCCTTGTGAGGGGTGCTCTGGAAGCCGTGGGGGCCTCCGGAAATCCTGGATGCACCCTGGGCCAGGGGCACCTTCTAGCAACACCAGAGTGGTGGCCCTTGAGGCTCCTCCGCGGTCCCCAGCGGCCTTCGGCGCGAAAGCTGGAAGAGGAGGAGGAGGAGGAGGAGGAGGAGGAGGAGGAAGAGGAAGAGGAAGAGGAAGAGGAGGAGGAGGAGGAGGAGGAGGAGGAGAAGGCGGAAGAGGAGGGACGAGGAGGTGGAGGAGGAGGAGAATGAAGAGCATCAGGGATGAGGGAAGGGAGATGGATAGAGGGAACGCTGACTTGGATTCAGGCGCGTGGATTAGCGACGGGTCCCGTTTGCGAAATCGGCGGCCTGCGTCACCGATTTAGGCATCATTGGCCTCATATGACGGGCTTGCCTTCCCCAATCCATCGATTTGGCGCCCACTCGCGAGATCCACGGATCCCTTATCTATGTCAGCGTGCTCCCGAATCGAGGAGGGGTGGGTCATGCAGGCAGCCTTACGATGCGCACGAATAGTTTGGGGTCCCATTCAGGGGATCTTGGGGTGAGCTTGGGAGGGAAAACGTCCTGGGCCCCCAGGATTCGTAGCCTCTGAGGCGTGAGTTGTCGAGGAGCGCATGTTCTCGCCACGGCCAGGTGAGCATCCAGGCGGCTCACGCGTCGCTCTCGCAAGCTAGCATCGTGGAGTCGGGGGATCGAGAGGTCATGCTAGCGATGCGCTCCAGGATTTTTGCAGGGTCCTCAGCGAGCTGCAGGAACGAGGGTCGCCACAGGCCCCCCGGAGATTCCAGATCGCAGCCCGAGCCCATCGCAGCGTGACATCAGTCTTAAATCTGGCCCGTCCCTCTACAGGGGGGATATTCAAAAATAGTAACAACAATAGTTTGGGGACGACTGTTGGACCATTTTTTAACATTTTGGCGTTATTTTGTAGGTATTTTCAACTTTTCGCCCACCCCTGTAGGGGGACAGGCCCGACTTAACATCAGTCTTGTCCCACGGGAGCTGGTCCCCCGAGAATGCCCCAGGCCGTGCCGGAGGGCACCTGCGTTGGGACGAAGAACGTCCTCTTCACGATGGAGAACACCGACCCGCAGTGCTTCTGGCTGACGAACTACCTCGAGACGCTCCTGGTGCAGGCGTCCGAGAGGAGGAGGAGGAGGAGGAGGAGGGGGAGGGGGAGGAGGGGGAGGGGGAGGAGGGAGGAGGAGGGAGGAGGGGAGGAGATGGAGGAGGAGGAGGAGGAGGAGGAGGAGGAGGAGGAGGTCGATTGGGATGCAATCGATGGGCGCACCGAGCGCCGACGCGATGGGAAGTGAGGTGCCAAGGTCGACATGCAGCACCCCTGCGCGTGGCGCCGAGGCGTGGGCGCAGGAGGCGGGGCCACCCGAGCTCCGTCGGAGGGCCGAAGGGCGGCGCGCGGGAGAGCCACCGACTCCTCCTCCTCCTCCTCCTCCTCCTCCTCCTCCTCGTCCCCCTCCACTCCTCCTCCTCCTCCTCCTCCTCCTCTCCTCCTTCTCCTCCTCCTCCCCCTCCCCCTCCACTTTTGTCTTTTGGCTGGACGTTTTCGCCCAGCTTCGGGCCCTGTGGGGCCCTCACGGAAAGCGGCCCGGCTCGAAGAGTGGCGCAGGATGAGGGGGCCTGTGGCTCCAGTCGTGATCTTTCGCGGTGTCTCTATTTTTCGAGACGTCCTCCAGAGACGCTGGATCTCGGAGATGCTCGATGTATCCTCACCCGATTTTATCCTCGTCCTGGCTTCGTCTTCGAGGGGGCGCCATCCCCGCCACCAGCCACAGAACAACCCCCTTCGCGGGCAGACATTGCCGCGCGACGTCGGCCCCAGTCCGCCCACGCCATCCGCGACTAAAAGCACCCCCCCGCCCGGCCCACGGGCGCGGACAGGTCGACGCTGCCCCCCGTCGGGGGGGTACCCCTACGCTCATTACGGTCGGACCGAGGTATGAGACCAACGTTGTTCGGGGATGGTGCCCCGAGCATCATTTTTGGGTGGAAGGCAAAGGGTGAAATCTGAAATGCCGTTTCGATGGGTTCTGGAGGTTTGAATTTGCAACATCTGAATCACAAGACGGATTGTTTGTCGAGGTGCACGAGCCCACATGGATTTCACCCTGAGCCCTCCACCCTAAGACAATGCTCAGGTACCCTCATGTTGCTCGTGCTTGTTGGTTGTTATTGTGCATCCTGGGGGAGAGTCCCCTCGAGTGATCTTGGGGTTCGGGGTGCGGTGGCCGGCAGAGGGTCTCCGGTTTTTGGAAGGATGGCATTCTGTCCGAGGTTCGACCGTACTCAGCGCAGTTCCTGCCGTCTCGACGCGGTGGCGACCGCACCGCGGGTGCTTGCGGCGGAACGAACGCCGCCAGGTCGACGCCGACCCCCGTCAGGGGGGTTACTCTCACGCTTGTTGCCAATCGCAGGGCACGGCAGGTTCGTGTCGTTTCGACGCGGCGGCGACCGCACCGCGGGCGCTCCAAGGGGAACGCCGCCAGAGGCCCAGAGTCGGCCAATCTGTGGAACGATCAGGCGATCGGAAGGCCGCAGATGCTGCCGCCCGTCCCTCCTCACGCCTCCTCCTCCTCCTGCTCCTTCTCCTCCTGCTCCTCCACCTCCTCCTCCTCCTCCTCCTCCTCCTTCTCCTCCATCTCCACCTCCTCCTCCTCCACCTCCTCCTCCACCTCCACCTCCTCCTCCACCTCCACCTCCCTCCTCCTCCTCCTCCCCTCTCCTCCTCCCTCCTCCTCCTCTCCTCCTCCTCCTCCTCCTCCTCCTCCTCCTCCTCCTCCTCCTCCTCCTCCCTCTCCACGAGAGCAAGGACACTGCCTGACAAACTCCTCCCTCCTCCTTTTCCTCCTCCTCCTCCTCCTCCTCCTCTTTCTCTTCATCCTCCTCGTCTTCATCATTCTCCTCCTGAAGCTTCCCGCAGAGGGCCCGTTAGAGGGCAGCCAGCGAATCAATCACTTAATGATGGACTTCGGACGTCGGTTGTCGGCGTCGCCCAGGCTGGACTCGGCTCGGAAGGTTGGGGGCTCAACCCCGAGACTTGGATGGGCCGAGGGGTTGACGGCCCGAAGGACCCGGCTGCGCGTGCGGGAGCCCTCCAGGGAGGCTTTCGGAGGTGCCCCTCGGCTCCTGGGGGTTTCGCTGCCGCAGGATGCGTTTCTGAAGCTGCGCCCCGCCCAGGGGCTCCCAGGGGCGTCCGAGCCAGCCCCCCCCCCCCCCCCCCTGCGTAGGCCGCTTTGGAGCCCGCCGGGGGTCCGAGCCGTGGCGGGCGGGTCCCTTGGCCGGGGGCCTGGCCCAGCGGGGCCAGGCGTGCTGTTTGAGCCCTGCGCGGCCGCTGGCGCAGCGGTTTTGGACCGCTACACTCCTCCAGTCTTCAGTCCTCCTGGAGCTTCCAGTGCATCATATCGAAGTCTCAGGGGAGGAACAGGTACCCATACCGCTACTCTTCCCTCGTTTGTCCCCTCTTCGGGCCTCCTGGGAGGCCCTCGTCGCCACTGCTGGATTCGCCTCGAAATCCTGGTCAGAACGCGCCCCGGGAGAGGTCTGGGTAGTAGCGGTATGGGTACCTCTTGGTTTCCCCAAAGACGCTTCGGCGAATTTCCACCGCCCCCTGCCTTTTGGAAACGCCCATGCGGCCAGATGCTGAGCCGAGGTCTGGCCAAGCTACTGGACTATATGCTCCCCCAGCCGGTGTGGACTCATGTGGGGGAACAGTGGGGAGAAGACGGACATGCAGAATGAGAGGGAGGAGGAGGAGGAGGAGGAAGAAGAGGAGGCTTGTTGAGGCCCTCTTGGGGCCTCCTGGGGGTTTCCTGGGAGCCTTTCGGGGTGGGCCTCTTGTGGGCCTCCTGGAGCCTCTTGGGGTTCCTTTGAGGCGCCTCGGGGACCTCCCTCTGGGGGCCTCTATGGGACCTCTTAGCCTTCGGAGGCCGTCTCCGGGCCCGCTTTAGGGTCTTCTTGGAGGTCTTTGGGGTCGTCTCGGGGCCCTTTGGGACTCTCTTGGGGCCCTCTTTGGCCGTCCTGCGGGCCTCTTGGAGGCCGGGCTCGTCGTGGAGCGTCCGATGCCCCCGGAAAGGCGAGAACGCCAGAATCCTTGAATTTGACAGACGCTTAGGGATTTGGGCATCTTCGAGGTAACGGAAAGAGCGAGGTACGAGTGATGACGTTTTGGTAGGGCGCAGCCTTCTAGGGAGGGGTCCAGGGAGGGTCGAGGGCTGGCCGCATGAGTGTTAATGGCCGCCGGGGGGCCGTTCCCTTCTTTTTCGAGTGAGGCGGCTCCTGGACGCCTTCCACGGCCCGTTCCCCTGTATTTTTTTCGAATGAAGATGCTCAAGGGCTCCAAGACGGCCCAAGAGGGCACCAAACCGACCCAAGACGGCCCCAAGAGAGCTTCGGTCCACGAGAGCCTCGAAAAGGCTCAAGAGACCCTCCAGAGGGCCCAAGACGGCCCAGAATTGTACAAAAAGGGCTCCCGAGGGGCTCCAAAAGGGCCCCAAGAAGACCCCGACGAGGCCCAAGAGACGCTCAAGAACACCATGGCTCCCATCAGCGAGCGGTGACGTAACAAGCTCTTGACACCAAGGCATCCCAGAGCGCGGTGACGTACAAAGCTCGTCACACCAAGGCTCCCAAGAGCGAGCGGCAACGTAACAGTTTCTGAACACCAGGGCTCCCAACGGAGAGCGGCGACGTAACAAGTTTTTCACATCAAGGCTCCCAAGAGCGAAGGGTGCCATGAGCCCTCTCGGGCCAGTTCCTGAGGCGCAGGCGCTTTTTCTGTTTCCGTGCCAGCCCCAGGTAACGGAAAGAGCGAGGTACGAGCGATGGTGTTGTGTTGGGGCGAAGCCCTAGAGGGAGGGGTTCCAGGGGAGGGGCGAAGCGTGAGGAGATTGGTGTTAATGGCCGTTTTGGGCAGTTTCCTTTGGGTTTTTGCATGTGTTTCAGGTTTTCCCCCCCAAGATAGCCCAAGAGCGCTCCAAGAGAACCCAAGACCGCCCAAGACGGCCCAAGAGGCCCCAAAGAGGCCCCCAAGAGGCGTCTAAGGGGCGTCCCAAGAGGGCCCCAATAGGCCAAAATCATGGATTGTCCTCAAGAGAACGTGCAATTGTCCCTACCTAGGCTCTGCCTAGAAGGGTTCTTATTCGGTTTGCTTAAAGGGTCGGGCAGTGGAAAGCGCCCCGTGCGGTTCCCCCGGTCCCCTCGGAGCCAATCAAAAACAACAGCAAAGGTAAAAGCAAACGCGTGGCTCCCCTAGTTGCGCTCCCTGGGTGCCAAGCAAAAGCAAAAGCAAAAGTGAAGGCAAAAGCGAAGGCAAAGCAACATCATAGCATAGCATAGCACAGCATAGCCTAGCAGGCGCTGCATCGCATAGCGCAGCATAGCTTAGCATAGCATAGCCTAGCCTAGCCTAGCCTACCGCTCCTACTAATGTTGCTTTCCTAGAAGCTCCAACTCCTAGGTAGGGTCGCACTAGGATAATTAGCATATACGGCTTTTCGGCTTTCACGGCGTTGACGACGGCCCAAGAGGTCCCCAAGACCGCCCCAAGAGGGCCCAAGAGGCTCCCAAGAGGCCCCCAAAACGGCCCAAGAGGGCGCCCAGACGGCCCAAGAGGCGACCAAGACGGCCCCAGAGGGCCCCAAGACGGCCCCAAGGGGGGGACCACGGAACGAAAAGTCTAGCCTTGCGCCCGAAGACGCTCTCAGGAGGCCCCAAGGGCCCCCCAAGAAGCCCCAAGAGGCCATCCCAGGAGGCCCCCGGGGGGCCAAAATTATTAAATTTCTATTGGGAAAAGGTACATTTTTACCGTGCACGGCTTTTCGGCGTTCACGGCGTTGAAGACGGTCCGCGAGGCACCCAAGACCGCCCCAAGACGGCCCAAGAGGCTCCCAAGAGGCCCCCAAAACGGCCCAAGAGGGCCCCAAGACGGCCCAAGAGGCGCCGAAGACGGCCCAAAAGGGCCCTAAGACGGCCCCGAGAGGGGGACCACGAACCGAAAAGTCTAGCCTTTCGCCCCAAGAAGCCAAGAGGCCCCCAAACGGCCCCCAAAAGGGCTCCGAAAGGGCCCCAGTAGGACCCCTAAGAAGGCCCAGAGACGCCAAATAGAGAGCGATCGGTAACG